CCCCCCCCCCCCCCCCTCCAGGCTCAGCCCCTACGAGTGGTACAACCCTCACCCGTGCCTGCGGGAGCGGCGGGACGTCCTGGAGAACCAGTACACGTTGGGCAACAGTCTGTGGTTCCCAGTGGGCGGCTTCATGCAGCAGGGCTCAGAGATCATGCCTCGAGCTCTGTCCACCCGCTGCGTCAGCGGAGTCTGGTGCGTACAGCTCAGTGCCCTCACTGACAGCTACTGTAGATGTGTGTGAGTGCTGTTTAACACGTGGATCTCTGGGAGGTTTCTCTGAACGCTGACTGGCTTTTAGCTCCATGTTTGCATGCAGCACACGCGGCGCTGTTGGTTGAGCACGTCCATGGAAATGAACCTTCTCTCTGTCGCTCTTTAGACCCAGGAAATCCAACTACATATTAAATATGTAAGAGAGACGTAGCATCTCTTTCTGTACGATGTTCCAGCTCTGCTTGGATGGACACCGACACCATTTGTGGTTGAGATGACAAACACAGAGCAGAGAAAAAAGACAAAAGGTTGTCGAGTCACACCGATCTGATGCCACCTGATCTCATGGGAAGGCGTAGAAATAGAACGACAGTTTTTGCGTGTCATGATTTTAGGCGTTTCAGGTGTCATTTTAAGCCACGTTGTTACGGTGAAACGTGTCATCATACGTTCCTTTAATATCTTACAAAAAAGTTAGTCTTTTTTGCTTTTTTCTACAAAAGTCCAGCAACGTTCGCATCAGTCTTTTTCAAAATAAACTTACAAAAAATAACTACAGAAGTACCGTTATTTAAGTACGCAAATAAACGTTCACTTCTCGTTTCACACGGGAACAAGCAGCTGGAGGATCGCTGTTTGTTGACCAATCCATATTGCGGTCTTCATACTTCCTTGCTTATGATTACATGGATAACATAAGATAAACATAAGATTTTCTGGGATATCTACCAATTACGGCGCTTTTTTTCATGTGTTTAGCTACAAATGCTGGATGAGACCAACGGTTAGGTTGAGGAAGAACATCATGGCTTAAAATTGGTACGTAAACTAAGTCAAAAGCAAACAATGTAACATAAATACTGAAAACACATCACAAACATCGCTTTCGTAACTTCAAAATAACATTTTGGGACAGGAACACAGGCCTCCTAGGCTGTTCCATGGAAACACTTTGTGAATGATGTTGGTGGTGTCGCGGCGGCTCGTCTCTCTCCTCCTTTAGCTGAACATTAGCTGAAGGTGAACAGATGGTTTGGTGTCTCTCATGTGGAAATGATGATGTCAGTTTCTCTTCCTGTTTAGTTTCCGCTCCTCTAATGTCCTCTGTCCTCCTCCGAGCGGCATCTGACCTCCATTTTTCTGCAGATTTCCCAGCAGCTTATAAATGTGATAAAATCCTCAAGTCGTTCGTGCCGAGCTGTGTTGCACCGTGTTTCACATATTCATGGTTAGATGAAGTTTGTCTGGTTTCTTTTGGTAATGCTTTATTTTTACAGATTGGTTATTTCCCAGAAATGTAGTCACTTTAACCCCAAGCACATTTTTATTATTATTATTTATTATTAGAAACTATATTCCCAATGTTTGATTTTACGTTTGTTTATTTGATAAAATGTTGTTGTTACAAACAGACAATCTCCTTTTAAAGCAGTGACGAGCTGTCATTTCCTCATCTAGAAACATTAACTTCAACAAGAGGGATATTCAAACCAAACCTCCGTCCTCCTGCTGGCTGTGGAGACTGAAGTTACAATTAGTCCTCCAATTTGTCCTCTCCTGTCCCCTCCTTCTCCTCCTGTTTTTTCCTCCTCTCCTCTCCTCACCTCCCTCCCTTATTCCCAGTAGCTGCAGTCAGACAGATGGTGGAATGATGCTGGAGGGAATGGAGGGGCCATCGGCATTATGTCTCTGACAGCTCTCAGCCTCGCTGAGCACTTAGGCCGAAAAAAGCTCATAGTGGCGGTGGCACGAATTTCAACATACTGATCTCTGTCTGTCTGTCTGTCTGTCTGTCTGTCTGTCTGTCT